AAGTTGACATACTGTTTTTACCGACTCACAGACCGGATAGACGACTTTATCATGGAATTATTCGAAAGCCAAGCTCGTGAAAACGAGCGCAGTGATTAACATAATTAACAATGCAATGCGAGATGTAAAATTTGCGTCGCCCAAAGGACAATCTTGCTTTGCATTCACATTAAAGTAGTTGAATATTTAAAAAATCTCCTGGAAGCAACTTCTTCTCCTTTCTCTCAAGTTAAATGCAAATTACATTCGTAATTTGCATTTTATCCTTAAAAGATAACAAAAAACCAAAGTATTTTTCTGTGAAATGCTATCTTTGTGCCTCTTTTTATGCGAAAAACTTTTTACGACAGATCTTATTAATTATTATAACTAAAATATTAATGGTCCAGTTACATATACATACCAATGTTATGACGTACATGACTTGTTATGATAGTATAATTGTAAATATAATTGTAATATTATTAATAACCTTTTATCATTAATTTTATTATTGCTTTTTATTATTTATCATCTGTATCACCAATATTATCATAAATTTTATTCAAAAGCAAAATGTGTTACATAAAATGTTAAAATTTGACAAATTTCTTATAACCATCTTGATGTTTTGCCTTTTTTTATTCATTGCTTATAATGATGTTAAAAATACAATCACGAAAAGTATTACATGTTTTCATAATGTTCTTTTTTTTTGAAAGTTCTTTCAAGGTAATTTCGTATCTGGGAATATTTAATGTACATTTCAATTGAAAACTTTTGCTGAATAATAATAAATCGGGCTGTTTGATAAAATTTTGCAAAGCAAAGCTTTTGAATCTCGGCGCGTTATTAAAATTCGAAATATCAAAGAGTCCGAGAACAAATGGGAAAAAAGTGTCATCCGTTCTTGATTTTAGAAGCGCACGGCACACGCGCAACAATCAAATTGTCGCGTTTGCAATCTCTCGCGCTTGCGTTTATTGCACGTTGGATGTGCTCGATACTTTTATCGATTGCGAGAGACCGCAAAAGCGACGGATTACGGAATAAAAATCCGTGAATTGCGTCGCCGCAATAAATTATAGCTTCCTTAAATCATTCCGTCTGTCCGATAAAGCACTCTTAGACCAAATCGCAGCAATTACTATGCGACACAGGGAAATCTTCACGATTAATCCTTACTTTCTATTTGCGGCAAAACTTTATCGGCTGTGTACTGTCGCACGAACGCATAAAGTTTCTCGTTAAAGTTTGATTTTTATTTATTTGCGCCCGCCCACTAGCGAGCTCGATAAATTGCCGCGGTTGCGGATTTTATTTCTGCAGGCCTTTCTGACTTCCCGATGTGAATTCTTTACACCGCAATCATTTTCGACCAGCATTATCAACAGGCTTACTTTTGCGAATATTCTATTCTTATTACTTTTATTTTTAGTTTTATAATTATTTTAATAGTATCTTACCATTTATTCCATTACCATATATTTTTTAATTATACGATTTTTTAATACAGCCAAGATCCAATTATTATGTTCGTAAGAGTATGCAAACTATATAATTTGTATCTAATTTTTTCATCTATGTAATATATTTTACGATAAAGAAAGAAGAGAAAAAAATCACTTACATAATAGTAAAATAATTAGATGTTTTTAATTAACACATATACTTAGATATTGGAGCGCAAAAATCTAATAATACAAAAAAATTGTACTATACCGCAAATCTGAAAAAAAAAATTTCTTAAAATTGAAAAGTATTATATAAAGTATTATATAAAACTCGAAATTAAATCAAAATTCGATATTTTAAGCTTTTCTCTAACAAAATTATATTCAATGTTTAATTTTATTCACAAGCTAATTTATCACGCAAAATACAAATAATTTCCTCATTTCGATAAAAAAAAGTATGTGATTGGAATGGAATGATCTATTACATCCAGCAAAATGGTTGAAGCAAATCTTCTTATGAGATAAGTAATGTCCTCGTTTAGTCGAAATGAGTTATACGATAAGTATGATATAGCGATAAGCTAAATTCTCTTCGCGTTAGCAATGGAACAGAAACATTATCATTCTATGCAATCTGGTAATATCAAGTAGCTTTAGGCGCTGCAAGTAACGTTTCCCTTTCGTGACAGAGATTCATTAAAAAGAAACAGCAGATGGTTATTACATAAAAAAAAAAAAAATCAGCGCTGATATTGCCCTACGAATGTGTTGTTTGTAGCGGATAGCAAAATGTTCGTTGATCTCCTCACAAAGAGAATTGATAGAAAACGATTATTATTAATGAAGATTACGATTTATCGGTCGATATGATTGAATATGATCTTCGTAATCCGAAGTATATTGTAAATTACACTTTTGGAAAAATCTATATATGTACATTACATTCGTTTAAAGGAACGTGTTTCGTACCAAGAAAGTGACGTTAGGTTGGAAGCCAATTACGAAGATCAATTGGGAGATTCGTGTTTCTTGAAGCCTTTTGACAACGTTAACAAAGGCAAGCGTTCCCCACTTTCAAAGACGTCGCGTTGTTGATCCCAATACTTTGTTTCGCGTTTCTCAAAAGCGAAACCGTATAAGGTGTACATAGATGCGAAATAAGATTTCGTAGGAAATACGAAACAAGATAAAATAAATAAGTGAGGATGAGAAAGGAGAGACAAACAAATGTAGTAAGCGGGTGAGTTTTTCTATCTTACAATGAAACAAGATAAAATATTTGTTAAATATTCCAGCGAATTGTCCAACCTAACGTCATATATATTTATTAAACGCGAAATTGTACATAGCCTTTAATTATATGTAATTTGAATATTTTATTTAACATAAACCATTCTAACTATTCTTTTAATTTATAACATAACCAATTCTTGTATTATGAATACAAAACGTATGAATACGAAGCTTGTATAATATTGAGTTTGTAACTTTTATTAATTTAATTATGTTGTATTATTATTGATATTATAATAACGTGATATATGTGTCACTGTAAAGTTAACATAATGTAAGATCTTATATTTTTATTGCATTATGTAATAGTCGTTACCTGAACATGCCAATTTCTATGTTATATCTAAACATAACAATATGGAAATGATAAATAATTATTAATCCGTTAATTATAAATTACATTTAAATTAAAAACATATATTTATATTATACATATATTATATATATTTATATTATACATATATTTAAATTAAAATTAAAAATGTATTTTGAAAATGACATGGCGGTAGTTGGGAAGTAAGAATAACCAAGAATTAATATCTCGCCGATATTCTTATACTCGTACAACGACCATATAATTAATAAATTAAAAAAAAAACTTATTTGTAATATTCTGTGTAAAATTATAACATATCGAATTTTTAATAAAATGATATTGTTTTCAGGAACACGTACTACTTACTTTACATCAATATTACATTGAAATGCCGACTGACTAATTACAAATGATTACTTGGAACGCTGTATGAAACAATCTTTTCACTTTTGACATTAAGTCACTATATACATTATTAGGTCAGTATAAAGTATACGTTATCTCTCGATATGTTTAAATAATTTTAAGCGCGAGCAAATATCGCTTTTATCGGTTATTTGTTTCCGATTGAGCTTACGAATGACGTTTAATTTTCGCGTGACCTGGTCATTTAAACAACACCGTTATTTTTTATCAACCGTAATATTTAACTAACAACGACGAAGTAAATTACATCGAGACACGTGTCGCGGTTTGCGATGTCTCGTTATTTTAAATCCGGACGCTACAACTGTATTGTATGCATCGTAGATAAAACTATTGTTGGTTTTAACACGATTAAGTACAAAAGAATACAAAAAGAAGTATAACGCACTTGAAAATTTTGCCTCTCGAACATTGAAATTCAAATGTATGGTGTGCCATAAGTCCAAGTTGCACTTCTTTTCATGTAAAAATTCTTCAATCAAATTCAGATTTCTGAAGAAGTGATTCTAATTGAACTGTCTTTCTCCGTAATTCTTCTTAACTCTTAATCTTCCATATTTTTTTAGCTAATCTACAAATTAAGAATCTATTAAAATAAAGTCTGCTTGTATTAGATAAAAAGTTCTATCTGTTTTTCTTTTTGAAATTTAATTTGTAAAAATTTATACATAGATAAAATGGACAAAATGGACCGAAAAAAATTTGTATAAATCTGTAAAAAAATTATAAAGAGTTTTCTATATATATGTATAAATGGCGATATTGTATATTATCGAATAATTAAGCATAGATAATGATAAGCATTGATCTTTACGTTATTAACATTAATATTTTACCAAGAATATTTTTTTCATATACAATTACGACGTATCCATTAATATTTTTCTGTCTATTTTAAACTTAAACCTCCGATAGATTAAAACTCGAAATTAATATCTTTAAATCAAAAGTCACAGGTCGCGTAATTGCTTCGTCACAACTTGTTTCTTAAATATTTAAACCAAAAAGAGTTAAAACTGATTTCACGGAATTTAACAGTGTTTAATTAGAAACTTTATGCTTGAAAGTGTGGCTTGAGAGTAATTAAAAGTCTTAACGAATGTTTGATACCGGAAATTCAATTGGGATTAGTTACATCTCGATCCAGCTTCCGAACAAACCATATCTTGAAATAGTTGTATAAGCTATAATTATCTCTTATCCTTAGAGAAACAATATTAAGAGCTACATATAAGCTTACACAGCGTCATTACGTAGCGTTATTATATAAAGTCATTAAATAAATGAGATTTTATATTAAAAATTTTATATTTTTAGAGAATATTGATATAAAAAATTAATATATTTTTATAAACAAATTGCTTATTAGATTATTAAATTAATCAGTAAAATAAAACTTAAGAATTTTAATATGTTTTATGCATAAGTATATTTTTTTGGTTATCATATATATTTTTGATGTATTTTTGGATTTTATATAAAACTAATTATTATATATATATATATATATATATATATATATATATATTATTACATATATTAATATTGATAAAACTCTGCACAAACAATTAACTATTAAAGTTTCCTTACATAATTTATGTATGTATTTATATGCAAAAATATATATAATGCAAAATATATTATATGCAAAAATATATATAATTCATCTATAAAATTTATAAATTATAACACGTACATACTTCGTAAAGATCAAGTATATCATTAATCTTCAATTTTTCAAAAATGATATCTATTGAATTTATAACTCATAATAAAGAATATGTATCTAAAATAACAGATAATCACATGCACATACTTTTTTTAATGAGATACATAATAAAGCTATTAAAATATGAAAAATATTGAAAAAAATTTTTTAAAGTTTTAAAATTTGTAATATAATAAAAAATAAGATACGGATATTTTAATTCTATGAATATTTTCTTATCTTAATAGAAAATATATTTTTCTAAACTTCTATTTATAATTTCACTAAAATTACTTTATATCTTATCTAGAGATTGTTCAAATCTTCGAGAGAAAATACAGAGAGATTATAACAGCAATTTAAATTGTACGAAATTTAACCTGTATAATAAACCTGTATAATAAACCTCTAATAGTCAATATCCACAAATGAATCTTTATAAATTCATGCATATGCATGCGACTATTGTTTACAAAAGCTTTATAGGATAGCTCTGCTCTTTGTTAAAGGTTTGGTTTCAATAACTTTATGCACATACTCTTATCATAAATCCTACACCGTGATATTAAGTATGCGGTAAAGGTATGACCCAGGCCATCACTATCTTTTGATTAATATTAAAACAATCAAGCCTCGATAATACTCAAGATATGGAAGTAAGTTATGCAAATTAAAATATTCTTCTCTTTTCTGTATGCAACGATAAGCTTATTTCCCGTTTATTCCTGCATATACTTCGCTTCAACGAGAGAGAGAGAGAGAGAGAGAGAGATAAAACTTTACCAAATATTTACTGAGATATTTAACACCGATAATTAACAGGCTGCGAAAAGCATGACTAAATTCAAATCCAGATTTATCACGGGATTTCCAGCTGCGAGAGTGGAGCGTTCTAAGTCGTGCATACTTTATTATTATTTGCAGTTTATTGGATTCCACGGCACATTGGATTTGAAATGTGACCGAACAAGGCAAATGTCGGCACTGGCTTACACACAAATGCACTTAGGTATTGTACATCGACCATCGGGTCGCCAATTATCCATTACGTCGAGCCATATTCAGAGAGTGCAGGTGCACGAGATACTGACTGAAACTCGTCGTATCCCAATAAATTGCTGCAGGCGATGCATGCGCTTAGAGAACGCCGCAAAAGGGAGACGAGCAATGTCTCCTCATTATTTATAAACATCAGTACCAAAATAATTCATCATTCATAAGCGGGAGAGCAAGAATGTGTGTCGCAGTTCCGTGCAATTCTTGGCATTCATCGTTGCGCTACGTCAATTCGGCCACAAGCGTTGCGAAAAACAAAATGAAAGAAAAACAAATGAACTCTTTAATCCCAAGTGTCGAGAACTGCGGAATTATTTTTTATCAGATAAAGCAAACAAAATTTCAAATCATCAGTGTTACGAGATCAAAAATTATAAGAGATAAAACTTAAATAGCGACGTTATTGAAGTCTAAATATTACTCGTCAATTGACTTTATCTGTTTGAATAGAAATTTAATTGAAAGAATTTAATAATGCCGAATTTATTATATCCTTTTACAGAGCAAACGATGTTCGAGTCCAATTTCGTAATAATTTATTATTCTAGGAATTCAAATGACGAGTTTAAGAGCGATAATACGATTTCGATGTAGCGATCAAAAGCTCTTGCAACATTCATATACCATTGTGCGCTCTTAATTTCTCCTATTTAGCGCACGCTTTTTCCCGTCATACTACACCTACCGTATTTTTTCGCCAAGGGAAGATCTCTCTGTTACAGTAATATTTCATAAAATCTCCCGCTTTTGTTATACAAAGATATAAATTTCACTGTCGCATGTAAAAGGAAAAATAATGAATGCTGGGTAAATTGGCTTTGTTGTCGACGTTACGCATTATCCATCCGCATGTCCGAAAGTCGGTCTATTAGCATTATTATGACAGGGTTTAAGTCAAATGAATTTACCGAATATATTATAAAAAATTGGTCACTTTTATAATCGTATTTTTATAGAGAATTTGTATGGTGTAATAAAAATCTTGATGAAAATAATATCCTTTCCTTATGAAATTTTTAAGACTCGATGACAAGTTATGAAAAATCCTTTAATGGCAATATTTGATGCAAAATATAAAATTATATAAAATTATCTAAGAAACATAAAAATGCATTGCAAAAAATCTATTTTGAAATGTATAATTAAATGTCATAAAAATATAACTATTTATTTAAGTATTCACAAGATTACTTTAGAATAACAATATATATATATATAATATTGCATTAATTTTTTTACGTATAAACAATATTGTTATATAAATAATAATTTTTAATTTAATAAAATTGTGCAATATTTATAAATAATTCATATATAAATTTGTTTTATATGTAAAAATTTTTTTGTATAAACAAATCTTTATATATAAATTTGCCAAAAATAATTTAATTCGATTAACTTAATTTAATTCTCTATATAAAATAAATTCATATTTATATTATATTATAGACACATTATATATTATAGATTCATATTTATATTGTAGACACTTTATAGTATGAGATATTTATATTATATTTTTTATCTTATGAAATATAGTATTTATATTATAATATAATATAATATAATATAATATAATATAATATAAACACTTTTTTGAACACGTTGCTTATCAAAAATTATACATCGAGCTAAATTACAAAACAAAATATCATATACACACTGTATTTACTATTATCGGTAAACCAGCAGGCTTATATATCATTCGAAGATAATATGAATAGTTCAGTATGTCATAACAATGCATTCTCGTGTGCACGTGCAGAGCGTGTTCTTATATTATTATACATATATAAGTTTTCTTACTTATTAAAAATTGTCACATCGTACAAGGCGCTCAATCTTGACTGAATCTCATTATAAAAAATAAATTTTAAGAACAAAAAAGTATAGCACAAGGTAAATTATAATAATGATATTATAATGAACAGTAACAAATAATAACAGAAGACTAAAAAGATTGTATTGTACAGAATAACGTTCAAAATGAATGATTCCGACAATGACAGCTCCGACAGCAGTAACGATTTCATCGGTATCACACCAAAGGATGAGCTGACAGCCAGTTTCTTCTCGATAAAACCATCATCAACAAAGCCTAACCTAGTGAATTCGAAAGACGATAGCGAGGATGAAAGCAGCGATGATGACAATTTCATGGATGTGCTCGAAAACAATGGCATTGAATTGTTTTCTGAAGTGGTCAAGAATTTAGAAGCCTCACAAAGAACTTTCATTAACAATGAAGAATCAAAACAGCACTCCTCCAAACAAGATGATACACAGGTTGTTAAAGAAGTCACAACTGAAAAGAAGAACAATAATATATCGGATGAGATAAACGCAGTTTTGCTCCAAGGAGAAAGCGGAGCACATGCATTTTATGAGGATGACGAAGCTATGGACGATGAGAAGCAAGAAGAAGAAATTAAACATCCTGAAAATTATACTATACCTAAAGAAGGTATTAAAATAACTTTACCAGGCACGAGTATGATTTTCAAAAAGAAAACTGGAAACAAAAAAGAATCAGATTTGACTGCACTTTTACGAAGAAAATTAAAAGCCAATCAGATAATTATAGAAAAAGCGGCTAGACTTTGTTGGTTGGCATATGGATTTCATTTGAATCATCAAGCAAATGATCCTGAGATCATGGCAACAGTGGTATCGCTTATTTCAACAAAAAATTATCCAAAAGACAGTTTTGATTTGGAATATCTGACAAAATTCACAAAATGGTTTAAGAATATATTTACGATAGAATCTAGTGACAACGAAGTTATTATAGATAAAATAACTTTATTAAAAAGGATTGCAGAGAAGAAGATTTATAATTACAGGGAACTGGTAATACTATATGTTGCAATATTAAGAGGTATAGGTTTACATTGTCGTTTAGTAGTATCTCTCAATCCACCACTTGTAAAAACATACAATGAATTATTGCCTAAAACAAATACAGTGAAGAAGAATGATAAAATTAAGGAGGAAACAAAAGAAACAGAAAAAATAGAAAAAACAAAGGCATCCTCTAAGAAAAATAAAAAAAATGTGACTTCAAAAAAGGATATAAAAAATAACAATATAATTCAAAATAGTGAAAGTGCACGAAAAGATGCTAATGCAGAAGCAAAGAAAAGGGCAGCAGAAATTCTTCGTTCAAAGTATTCGTACAATAAGAAAAGTAAGGATAAATTAAATAATAACAATATGCTCACACAAGATAAAGCTTCTACATCTAAAAATGTTGAAGCAATTCCCACAAGTTCAAAAACAGACACCGTCCCAAATCTCAGACGTTTAAGATCTCACACATGTAATGTTGCATCTACATCATCCAAACAGCAGAACACTAAGATCAATACAGAAAATAATCAATCTAAGACGAAAAATTCTATACAGTCATGGAGTACTAGCTCAAGTTCTGAAGAAGAAGAAGAAGAAAAAGAAAAGTTACTCAGTAAATCAAAAAGAAAATGCAGTGAAAAAAAGAAAACCGCTGTTAAATCTAACATTAAGAAAAATAATGAAAAGAAGGAACAAACATCGACAGATGATGAGGAAACCAATAACAAGTTAAAAAAGAGACAAGATGTATGGGCTGAAGTATATGTAGAATCCAAGGCAAGTTGGATATGCGTAAATATAATGGAGACAAATGTTGATTGCGTGACTGAAATATATGTAAGTAACTTAAAGAGATAATAGAAACTTCTATAATAACGAAGCAAGCATTCTTATAATTATTTATAATAGCAATGAATAGAAAAAAATAGATTTTTATGAAAGCTATTATGTGACATTCTAGAAAAAAGCAAGTAAGCCAGTATTATATGTGATAGCTTATAATTCAGAAAGATTAATAAAGGATGTCACGAGACGTTACTGTCCACGATGGCTTTCTGTTACACGTAAGCAACGTATTGATGAAAAATGGTGGACTGAGACGTTGAGTTATTGGCAAGAAAAGGAGACAGCCATGTCTAAACAAGAAGATGAATTATTGTTGCAAAAGTAATTTCTTCTTTTATAACTAGAATCTTATTTATTTAAGCATAATGTAATGAATGATATGTGAATAAATCAAATACAATAAAAAATAACTCTTCACAGGGAATTGGAACAACCATTGCCCAAAACTGTTGGCGAGTGCAAAGGACATCCATTATATGTTCTCGTTAGACATTTACTCAAATATGAAGCCTTATATCCACCGGACTGTGTACCGCTGGGACATCTGAAAACAGGCGAAGCTATTTATTCGCGCTATTGCGTACACACACTATGCTCACGAGAGACCTGGCTAAAGAAAGCTAGAGTAGTTAAACCAAAGCAAGAACCTTACAAAATAGTTAAAGCACTTCCAAAGTATGACAAGGTAAAAATATTTTAGTGTTCTTTAAAATTCTATAACGAAATTAATTAAAAATTATTTTATATGAAAATCATTATACCAAAAACATAACAAAAATTATATGCAGCTTTCAGGTATGAAACTTAAGGATTCTGCATTAGAATTATTCGGAGAATGGCAAACTACAGAATACGAGCCTCCAGAGGCTAAAGACGGCATTGTACCTCGTAATGAATATGGAAACGTTGATTTATTTAAAAAATGTATGCTTCCAAAAGGCACAGTGCATATAAATCGTAAGTATATATAACATATTTTTCATACTAACAATAAGTGTTTTTATAACTTATGCTACATTTTATATTTCATTATACAAAATCAGAAAGAATTTAATTTTATAATATTGCAATGCATTTAATGAATGAATAGTTCCAGGATTAAATCGTATTGCACGAAAACTGAATATAGATTGCGCAACTGCTGTAGTGGGTTTTAATTTCGGTTGTATGGGCGCTGTGCCAGCCATGGAAGGCTATGTTGTGTGCGCTGAATACGAAGACACATTGCGAGAAGCTTGGGAAGCAGAACAAATCGAGGCAGCTAGACGGGCTGCCGAAAAAAAGAAGAAAATAGTTTACGACAATTGGAAAAAACTTATTAGAGGTTTACTGATTAGGGAAAAATTATCACAAAAATACGAGTTTAAAGGGCAATCAAAGACAAATGAAACGAACAAACGTACGAAACAACAAAAAGGCACTGTAAAAAAATCCAAATCATAATAAAATGTGTACACAAGTATTCTTTATACATTAATTTCGAAATATTATTGTAATAGTATTTTGAATGAAACCTTATTTAGGATATCATAAACTTCTAAAATTAATAGTTATTGTTAAAGCAAATTTTTCATCAATATTTCAATATATAAAGTTCCTGACAATATTTGTTATTTATTTATTTGTTCTGTTCAGATATTGCGTATAATTAATAATATGGACAATTTTTACAATGAATTAAATTATTTTTTGTAACATAATGTAATGTAAACTTGTGTGTTTTTTTTCAATCTTCTTTGTAATAAAAAATGTATAAATATCCACATATTTCTGTGTGTATTGAATTTTATACATATTACATATTTGTGCAAAAGAAAAATTTCCGAGTATTTAATTTTTATCGAGACCATATTTATTATTAACAATCAATATTACTTTATCAATATTACTTTACGTTATCAATATTACTTTATATATCAAATATTCAATGAATAATCTTTTTGTCCGATTTTTATCGGACAAAAAGAGTCTTTTATCGGATAAAACAATCGAATTTATCCCGCAATTATCTTTTATTTTTTAAATGTAATATTCAATATTTTTCAATCGTTTCGTTAAATTTTCACAACAGGAAAAAATCACTGAGCTATGTGATTCTAAAAGCATTTGTTTGTCTTTTACAGATATCAATTCTCTCGTTAGCCATGAATATATTAACTTTTATTCTACTTTTTGTTTAAGCAAATGCAGCGATTTCTCGACAATGTTATACAATTCAACATTAATAAAAATAGCTTAAAAAGAGTTATCTAGAACTTCGAATTCCTGCTTCAGAGTTCATAATATGTTTGTTGAACAATATGGCTATAATTCACACGACAAACTGTGATATTGACTTATTTGTTTGTGGAAATATATAATATAAATATATGCAACATAGTTAGGCTATCATATTTGAATATTTAGAATGACAAACAACATTTCTAAACATTTTAAAAGATGATCCTTTCTATCATTATAAATATACTTTGTTTGTTCTTATTTACGTCCTGTCAATATTGTGTGTGTCATAAATCTTTTATTCTTTTGACATTTTAGTGGATTTATATATGGAGAGCTAACACAAATTGAGATATATTGCTCTTATACGACTGTTTGGATCAGTCATATAAATTAATTAATTTCGGTTTTTTATTTGACGGTTGTTCAATAATATTATGTCATACGCTGTGGAAAATCGCTGTGATTAATCGCGAGCGATCTTGATACGAGCAAATTCTTTTTGCGCAACTTGGTGGTCAAAAATTCGCAGCTTATTATGAACGATGTGTTCGGCAAACTATGAATCGCTCGTTTGATTCGCGAAAGGATAAATGGCTAACGTGTCATGTTTGAATTTTTAAAATAATAATTTCTCACAAAATGTTCTAAAAAATTAAGAGTTTTAAACATATTAAGTATTGTAAACATTCTTTTTCTAATAAAGTTTTCCTTGAATTATCAATATATGTTTGATAGACGAATATTTATGAATTGACAATCTATGAATTGTTTCGTATAAAACTTATAAAACATTTATATAACATTTATATATAACCAAATATAACCAGATCTGAATATGTAAAATAATAGCCCAAACTGCCAAGGGCTTTGAAAAATTCTTATATAATATTGTTATTATATTTTTCATTTATATTTAAATTTATATTTATATTTAAACAAAAACATATAGTAAATTATTAAGAAAAATAATCAGTTAATATAAAAATAAATATACAGAAAGAAAGTACTAATTATATTATAAAAATATATAAATAACATCACACTTTTTAATAAAACTTTTAAAAAATTTGTAAAAAATTTACTATTTAATGGAATAACGTATTGCATAATTAATTATTCCCCAAAAAGACAATTTTCTTAAGATCGCACGGTTCAATTTGGGAAACTTACTTAGGAAATTTACTACTGTTTAAATACGATACATGTGTGATAAGGTTTTAGGAAAGCAAAGAATTAAGTGTAACTTATGTAACTTCCATGGAAGTATGCCAAAGACAATGTTCTCAAGTAATTGGAGTATTTTTGCTAGGTATGCACTCGCCCTAGGTGGAGCTTCTATTACCCTGAATTACGAAAATCGTTCTGGAAACTGGTTCAGCCTGGATTCAGGTTCTCCTTTGTAATGAGACCCTCCTTTATGGCGAAAGTACGATACTACCCGAGCCAATTGTCGTTTCGATCTTTGAATCTTAATGTTTGCATCTTGATTCTACGTAATCAAGAATCAGTGTTCCTTGCACTCCTTTTCAGTAAAAGTTTAAGACAAGATGAAAAGATCAATTATAAGATAAAAAAAATTTCTTTGACACAGATTGAGCTTGTGCTTGAGAGAGTTCACAAAAGACGATTATATCGACTTCGAAGAAAATTTATGCGCTTAAATTGCATTCACTATCTTTAATCTCTAAAGTATTATATAATTTTAAAAATTTTTTTAAATTACGTTTACAATTTGTCTGAGAATGCTTTCTTTATCTGCAGAATCTGCTAGTACGTTTTGCATAGTTTATTTATTAAATCAAAGAGAAAATTATATTATTCTACAGAATTTAATAAAAGACATATTTAAATTTGCACTTTATTTGTATAAAACAGCTTTTTTTGTATTAAAAAGTTAAAAAAAATTATAATAGATTATTAAATGTTTTTATAACAATGCAGAGAGAATCTAATAACATGTGTAGGAAAAAAATTGAATGCAATAGCAAATTTAATATCTCATTGGATCAAAAGAGACGAAATTTTAAATTTGTGTGCAAAGATAAAAAATAAATGTTAATGCAAAACTTCACTTTTAGGTATTTTATCAATTTAACAGAATAGTTATATTTCTAAATTAATTTTGTTTCGTTTTTAAAAGTAGTAGTCTGTACCATTTATATTTTTCTTTGAATTCTTTCCTAAAGAGGATAATGCAGAAAATTCAAAAATTCACAGGAGAATTTATTAAATTTAAAAAATTTAGAAATTTTTAGAACGCACAGAAGACAAGATGTGTCACGATAATGCAACAGTCCAAATTCGAATTTCTACGATCTCTATCGTTTTGCGAATTTTAAACACTTGCACTTCCGAACCGACACGAATTTCAATATGGTACGAAAGTAAGAAAGAATTCGTTCTACGTTCTTCTTTTTCCGGATGATCGAGGCTTTCCATTTTCCGAGAGGCAATCGATCATCCGTGCGAGATATATCGATCTTCGTTTCGCTTGGCGTATCCCCGTGCAAAGCTGATAGATCATTAAGCCTTGCCTCTCGTTCGTTCCGATGTACTCGCACGTGTGCATGCATCGCACGGCTCCTGGTACTACGCCACACGATTTCAGCTGTCCAATTTCATATTCGCACCGGCATCAGATATAGATAGCCGCACACACAGAGCTGCACCAGCGTCTTGGTAGTGCATTCCTGTGCAAGAGCACGTGGGGAGTGCACATCTATTTTAGAACACGAACTTGAACTTAGAGACTCGTTACGACGCGCGGACTCGTAAAGGATGATCAGGAAATTGGCAATTAGAGACGAGAGCAAAAAGTTCAATTCGTTCGTTTTGACCACGAGAACGGCGAGGAAATTAATTTTAAGGATTTCCGTCGGTTTCCTCTATGCATTATGATATATCGGCTGGTAGAATCGTTTAATTGAATTTTTCAAAAGGACAAAAGGACAAGATGATAATCTGCTCAAAAGAGCTTCAGTTTTCATATTATTCTGGAAGTTCTCTTCAGAAAATATTCTCGTTATTATATGTGATACGATATTTCTAAGATAATTTCAAATTAAAAGTGTTTTATAAATGCCATAAACGCAGCGATTTTTGTTGCAGAAAGATAAATTTTTAGAGAAAATTATTATTGTATATAAATTAATCTATTTTATTAACTATTAATTTATTAATTATATTATATAAGTCTTTAATTAGTGTTATTTCTAACGTTATTCCTTTATAGTGCTTACATCCATTTTGGATTTTGTAATATTTTACAATTTTTTTTAACGAAATTTTTCTACATCTCACAGAAAAGAAGAATTTAACAAATTTTTAAAACATACGTGTGTATTTACGTGCGTACTCAATGTAATTATAACGAAAACTTTGACGCGAAAAAATTAAATATGCATCATGCGTTACCCGTATATTGAGTGGAAAAATCATAAAATATACATATTTTGATCGAACAAGTAATTTCTCTTAGTAGTAATTATTGATTATGATTAAATAACTTTCTCTTTTGTATTTAATAAAAAATTGCCCAAAAAAAGCATCTCACTATAACAGGCGAATAACATAAGAACTGTAACTTAATATCATTGAATTTTGTTAAACGTTTTAATAATATTCTCGCTTTTTTTAATTATACAAATAATTAATTATACAAATTGTAATATTATATAAATATTAAATGATATAATACATATTAATCAGTTTGTTTTATTAAAATGCAATAATTTCTTATATAAATATATAGTTTTAATAAGTTCTATTTGTCAAATTATTTAATATAAAAAGATATGTAAAAATTGGACAATTTTAAACATCATCTTTACAATTTTTACAATTTCACAATTAACGGAATAATTTATAGAAAACTGCTATAATGTCATCAGCCATTTTTCTGTCATTTTAACCCAGAAAAATACAAGTACTTTGCGATTTCTTTCTCACATCGCGATTTGATTAAGGTCATTTCTGAGTGCAACTTCATTTCCGATTGTCTGTAAAGCTGGTACGAGAACAGCACGAAACGCATGCAAAGATGCGCAGCTCCGATAGATCTATAAGATAAGACGATTCGTAGTCCGCACATCTGTGCCGAATACAATAGTATTCAAGTATAGTGTAGGTGTGTACCAGGTACTATGCAGGTATAAAAGCGTGATTTGAGCACGTCGAAGCTGTCAGTATACGTGTAACAATTAAACGAACAATTTCCTCGAATCGCAATTCGCCTGTTACAAATCTAGCCTGTTATAATCTATTGAACAATTTTTAGTATATTGATATTTTTTTTGGTATATTGATACAGAATATATTATTTCTTACGTTATATATTTATTAATTTCAGAATTTTAATTCCTTAATTGTATATTGATTGATTAATCCCTTTAAAAAAGTTTACCACTCAAACAATTAGTTTAATAACTACATTTAAAAAATTATAATAACTGTAAATGATTTAAACATTCAGAAATTAATCTAAATTTAAACAATATAAAAATTGTAAACATGTGAGAAGAGTATTGAATACGGATGACTGGATTAAAATTAGATTAAACTACTTTCAAATTAACAACTTGCAAAAATAGATCTCTTTTGAATTGAAAGATTTTAACGATGATTAACAAGCGTGATAAGTAAGATTAGTCAATGTAACAATTTAATCGGCAAAGTTGTGTTCTCTTTTTGAGCCACCCTGTGTAGGTACTCGGGCGCAGAGGTGCTAAGCTGAGTCAGCGGGGGTGTTAGTTAGGGTTATTATTTCTTGCCGCCCATTTGAGGGTAGTCTGTCAGTTATCGCAAGTCAATGAAAGTACAAACAACAAACATTCTTATCTTTATAGACAAACGTGACTCAATTAAATTCCAAATTCCAAATAATTATTTAAATAAACATATAAACAAGTGTCTAATAATTAAACACACAATTTTATTTACTTTTTTATATTATTACTTTATGATATAAATTACTCTAAGAAGTGTTCATAAAATACATACACATATATAAACTGACACATGTTATGTAAGTATATGTTAATATAACTCTTAAAAATAAAAGTAGAAATATATAAAATATAAGCTATATTTTTAATTAAAATGTTTAAAATAATTCTGAAGAGACAATATATTTTTTAAATACTTATATCAATTAAGTAGAGTAAGGTAAGAATACTAATTTCGACATAAAATAAAGCAATCAATGTTAGTTGTAATAATGTAATAAATTTACACAAAATAGTTTTGAAATGTGTTTATTTTATCAATTAATATTCCCATTTAAATTATCGATATATTAAAAATTAATGTATGGAAACATATTTAAATTTTTACGCGCGGGCGTTGAAACCTAGCATTGATTAGAAAGCCACTGGAAGAAACTATAGGCAAGGCGTTATTTTTCCTGCATTCCGTCTTCGGCAGGCAAAATGAGAAAACGCGAGATCACCGCAGCGAGTGAATCGACGCGTTTTTGCGGAAGTCACGCCGGTTAAGAAACGACCGCTGAATGAAAACGAATGGAATTTATGGGCCGTCGAGCTGCGTCAGGCTGTGGATCATAAATCTGACGCGTGAAGCGGAAGAAAATATATATCTTCCGGAACGAAGAAATGTGTCGATGAACGAACGCAACATGTGATTGTTGATATAAAAAAATAATTACCGTGATGTCCAGCAGCGATCTGTATCTGCGTACGGTGATTTGTGATTTAAAATTCTTTAGACTGTGAGCGGCGACATGTACCTGAATTTAACTCTTAAATAAGAAAATTATCTTAAATTACGAAAAATAAATTTAAAAAATGGCTGAATCAGACGTATCGGAAGAGAAGGAGATTGTTATGGCAAATGCGACAACCACCTGTGATAAGCGACATTGCAAGGAGATGCGAAAGGAGAAGTTACCCCCTTACTTACGAGATAGAGGTACGAAATTTCTAAAGAACAGGAAAAAATTTTTAAGTTAAAGAAAAATATTTTTCTCTATTTATTTTATACTATAATTGTTTAATTCTATTATATGCAATCCGTAATTATGTTCTAAATGTGCATATATTTAGATACATTTAATTATACTTTATTAAATGGACAAATAGAAATATTATACATAAAAAATATATTTTTTCTGCTTAAGAATTTTTTCTATAATCAAAGAAATAATTTAATATTATTAATTATTACTTAAGAAAATACTAACAATAATAATTACAATTATTCCGAGATATTATATCCGAGTTATAAATGTATTAGTAATAATTTAAACTATGAAAATTAAATTGAAATATTTTTGTTGCTTCTTCTAATCTAAATGTATATTGTAATTTAATACCCAACTGTAGATACTGTAGACATATAAGAAAGACTTAAGTCTTAAATCAAATTTCAAATTCCAATGCAAGTCAATATTCCGTGTTGAATTAAATTATTAATCGACTTCATCAGCTTTCTCTTTCCACCATTATTAATAATTTTTATTTGTGTAAACCAATCACGAACTTAAATTTAACGAAGTATGAAAGAAGAGTGGCAATTACATCATACACAAGGTATTACTCATGTCTTTTTTGTAAATTAAATGTTTTTTCGGCTGTAAATAATACCATTGTAAACTAAGAGATTATCCACATGTATTGAGAGAATATATATCTCTCTTTATCCAATTAAATCTATTCTTCTTCGTGTCTTTGCAATACACTTGAGTTAAAAGCATCATTATTTTTATACCTCTACACAAATTTATTCTCAAGCAAAGTATAAAATAGCCAATTTAAAATTTCAAAGGATATTACTTACAGATAATAATTTACAATAATTACCATTTTATTTTCCCACGAAATTCTTTTATGCATATTATTTCTATTATTTCTATTATTGTATTGTAATAATCTTTAATTAATGTATCTGTACAACTTTTTAGTATCTTGCATTGACATAAATTAAATTTTTAAATATACATCTTCAATACAATATTATACAAATTAATAATATTAACGTTAATTGTTCTTTTTGTTTCTTTATAATATTATAAATATTATTAAAAATTATATAAATATTTCTCTCTCATATTTATAAATGTATATACATGTATATAAATTTTATTATAATTTTCTAAAATAACTTTATAAAAAAATTAAAGTTAGAAATAATAAAAGTTCCAATAATTTTAGAAGATTTACTATTTATTAAAATAATGCATATATATTATAGATTATTTTTTATTCTCTTTATTGTAATACTTTTTGACTACTGTAACAAGCATCTTTACTACAACTTTGACTTTTCCTCCCAAATGTGAGCTCGTTTGCCTCGTTAAGAAAATGGAACACAGAGTAAGGATGCAACTAGGTATAATTCTATGGAAACGTACGAACGTGTACACTGCAGGAACGTAAACGGTCGAATAGATCGATAGCTATGCCTTCTCGAGAGGCGCCTCACAAATGTAAATTAGGGGCGCGAATATATCGGGGTGTGCAATCGCCGAATGCAGATGGCCGTTCCGGCGCGAATTCGTAATCCGATATCTTGATTGCACGCGAACACGCGAGCGCTTTCGAGCTACGAAATAGTCGAAAGGCCGTTCTGAAAGATATATATGTTCTCGCAATCCGAAAATGGCCGATTACAGTAGCTTCTGTTTCCCCACTGATTTTTCTCTCGATATTTTATATTATGCGTCTACCTATAAAATCGAGCAAAAAGCCAGAAAACTTTTTTATATCACGCATATGCTCGCACGCAAATCAATTTTTATTTCACTAGTTTGTTTCAAAAAAGATTCCAAAATTCCCAAGTTAAAAAATGTGATAATAATCTTTGATATAAAAATAATTTTAATTGACGTAATTCTTAGCCAATTTAGTGGAACTATTGGATTAAATGACGAATGGATTAAACGACAGAAATATCAAAAAGAGCTGAAAATGTAGAAGAAAAAATGATAATATGAAGCAAAATAAAATGTTAAAATGTTAAATATAATTTTCTTGCAAAATATGAAAATGCAGAGTGAAATAGAATTATTTATATAATTTATTTTTATGGAATCCTTGTAAAATTTTTTATATATAAAACTTTATGAATTACTTTTATTTTAAAAAGAATAAAAAATTGCGTAATAAATTTTTATTTTCTTTTCTACGCGTTATCTTTTTCTTAATTATGTTGTTACAATTGAATATCAAAATAGCAATTATATTTTTATTTTAACTACTTCAAGCATTGCTTTAATACAGCCTAACTAATTTAATTGAAAACCTTGTACGATTGGCATTCTCAGACATTCCCTTATTAGTTTTCTGTCAGATTTATCAAGGCTTTGCCGTAACAATCGATCAACTTATCTAAACTATTCTGAGAAAACAAGAACCTTGCCCCCCAAAATTTACCCTAACTTACCCTTGTATACTTCCTGCTGTTATACCCGACATACACGCGAGAAGTCTAAAGAGCCAAGCACATTCATCGTACTTGTGTGTAAACAGAATTGCGTTAAACTTCACCGTCTCCTCTAAAGCACTCACTAACAGAGAAATACGAGAACACAAGAACTTGGATAACTTCAACCTGCTGCTATGTCTAACCACATGCAACATGCGTAACTAATGTTTTAATTATTTCTCATTTACTAAACAGAAAACTTTAAATAAACCTTCAAGCTTTATCAAAGCCTTGATTTTATCTTTTATGTTCTTAAACTTTATGATAATATTTAAATTAACTTTAATATGTAATAATATATGCATATTAAAAAAAATAGAAGTCACACACAAATATGACAAGCTTAATTTAAAAAATTAAAGTGCTACAACTTTTTTCTGCTTTTCTTACTTTTCTTACTTTTTGCTTGCTTCTTTTTCCTCTTTTTCCGCTTTTCTATATTTTCATTATCTTTTCTTTTCCATATATTTTTCACATTTTTTATTTCCGTCTCATTGTTATCTTTAAATTCATTTATCCATTATTTTCTTTATCCCTTTTTTCTAATGCCTTTTTTTCAGCTATCTTTTTTTATTTTTTGTTTTGTTTTTTATTTTCTTTTTTCTTGATTATAATCTCCAAATAATTTTTATAATTATACGCCATACGACCACACTAGTGAGCTCAAATTCCAATTTGGAGTGCGACATAGCAAATAGACATTAATAGGGCATGTCTATGTCTCGTTCTCAGCCAGCGTGTTTCCTTTCGGACATTCGAATTGACACCTTCCGTGCACAATCAATCTCAACGCTTCGGCACGACGTATTTCGTGAAATGCCTGCACGCATAAGCACCTATCAGATCCTATATAAAGGAACGTGCGGATTCCGGTACAATCTCAATTGATATCCGATATTCTACCGGCGTGGTACCATCGGGTGACAACTGGCTGCGGAGAGTTACCAGAGAGTCACTTTCGTCGACGAAATCATTTCTTGTACTTCAATACTCGTATCGTATTTCTTGTGTATATTACGGGTACCGAAAAGTAGGAAAGTAGTAGAGTTGAATGCAATAAATTAATTATAATTATAAAATTATTAATTACGAAGGAAATTATTCATATTATGTTATTTAAAAGTTAATAATAAAAAGAAAAAAGATATATACGGAATATTTAATTATTAATTTATTATTATTAAAATGTTTAATTATTAATTTCAGTTAATATTTCTGCATATAATGAGCTAACTTATTACTAATGTTTTATTTAATAATAACTATTTTAAAAATATACTCCCGATAATTCTTAATTCTAATTCTTTCTAATTCTTTCTCTCTTAGTAGATATAACATTATAAAATTATCCTTGTATTTTCGGTATTCTTAATATCACAGTGAGGATACGAAAATGTTGCTATCTACTCGAGCAGCTCGATACGCTGCTCTTATGGCGGAACCTGACGAGCTTTATCCAGGTGTAAAAAGATATTTAATAGTTTTAAAACTTTATTTTATTTCTTATAAATTAATAATTTTCTTGGATTGTATTTCAGAAAGAATACTCTATCCACGTAATACAAGAGCTCTACCAAAAACACCCGTGGTCGGTGGCCAACCTATCGAAGAAGAAACATGCATGGTAGTTTTAAAATATATAAATTATTATATAATAGACGTAATAAGAAACTTTATGCACAAAATCTTTGATTACATAACAATTATATAAAAAATTAGGCTCAATCAAAAATTTAATCTATAAAAATTATACTTTTTTTGCTATTATTATAGACTTTAAGGACATTGGTCTTTGGGTCTTGCGCGAGTCCGCCAAAAGCCGAATGGGCAAGAACCGGACTGACCTTACGACCATATGGACAAAGTTTGGCTTTTGGATTGAGAACGCCCAGAAATACAACGAGAAGCCTTGTCACCGCAGTGCAAGCTGTCATGTTGAAGCACTTTTTGTTCAAGTGCGACAAACAAGACTTACGTGCAAATCCTGAGACGTAGGTGCCTTTATACAAAGCGCATATATTAGTTTATCGTTATTTATGTAGATTAACTATCTGTGTTGGAATCTTTAAATAATACATTAAAAGAACGACAATAATCTAATAAAAATATTATTAAGTAAGTAATTATTTTTAAAAATATTATTAAGTAAGTAATTATAGAATCATGATTTAATTAAAGAAAATTTTTTCTAAATGCAGCTTGCTAAAACCTTCGTACGATCGGCAGATTGAAGTATTGACCTCTGCAATATCAGAAATTATCTGGCGTTGTGCCGGTGGTTTTTCGGTTCCCACATGTCCAAATGTTGTTAGTAGCATTGTGCCAAAGGCCATAGTGGCTTTGCCGCAGGACACACCATATATTCAACATAGTGTGCAGTATTTTCAAGACGGATTAACAGAAACGGTATGTATTTTATATTAATATCTTATACAAAAATTGAACAAGTCAGATATATATTATATATATATATATATAAATCGTTTAATTTTTGTTTCAGTATCAAGTTTTAATATTTTTCTTTAATTATTTAATTATAAATAGTATACTTTTTGTATTAAATAAAGAAGAATAAAAAATTTAAATTTTAATTGAGGAGCTAATTGGCGAAATTAACGTTTTCTTGTAATGAAACAATTTAGTTATGCACCGATGCATACTCCGTTTCTATCACATCAACGAGTAGTGAAATCCAAGCTTTCTCGTTTAATTAATTTGCGACGAAACAGAATATATATCAAATTATAACGTTGGTATTTTGCTAAATATGTTAGCGAGTAATCTCGAGATCGTGCGATGTATCATTGTCTATATGATTGACAATCCTAGTTTCTAAGACGTTATCAGATTCAAGTACATACTTCTTAAAAGATTGTTTCATACCGTAGCTACATCTTTTCGAGTTCAATTCCTTGGAGGATCTTGAGATATTTGTCAAGAGATACTTGTACCTAGTAAGTATTTACATAAGGAAACTAAGGGAAACTATAGTACTTGACGGATGAATATCAGGCATTATACAGACATTATACAGATGCTATCAGACATTGTTTAAATGAAGAAATCTTATATTTCTATATAAAATTCACATCTAAAAGTAGTTTTTTTTATCAAAGTTATTATAAAATTAATTTTTTTACTTATATAAAATTAAGAATAAGTATAAAATTTTATTATCTAGAATTAATTAAGATTTATTATAATCTTTGCATCTTTAGTTTCATGATGAAGGTGGACCTGGCGCGAAATTACTTTTATACAGCGCAGTGCTTTCAAGAGGTCTCTCAAAGTAAGATGTTTCTTTCCTGCATCCCTCTTATCATTTTGTTACAAATCGAAAGCAAATTGCTTTAATTAGATGAATTACTTTGATTAATATATATTCAAATATATATAAAATAAATAAAATACGTAATATTTTTATAATTAAAAAAAATGACAAAATATTTTAGAATTCGAAACGATTTGGAAGATCCCAAGGCTTCAATTCTCGGTGGATGTTCGGAAGAAGGACCGATCAGTATCATCGTCTTCGTTTTAACCGGTCGTGCTTCGCCGCATCTTCATAACGGGGTCCTCCATGTTGGTGATGAAAATACATATGTAAGCCTGTAATAATTTAATTCTTTCAGAGATAATTATTTATTTCATGCTAATTTAACGTAATTAAATGAAAATAAGGCGGTACCGCAATGGGGCGTTCTCATGAGAAGTGAAGTAGGATTCTTAGTATACGAGAATGATAGCAATATAAGCAAACAACCCGGTTCTCGATTGAAGACACCTAGTCTACCGATATGGGTGACTCTTTGTCTCGGTCATCATGGTGTACTTTTCAACACAAATCGAGAATTATTGAGGAACTATCACGCCGAGCGACGGTATGTATTAAGTAATTTCATTTACTCGGATGTATGAGTTTACGTTTTTTAATTTTATTTTTTAATAACAACTTTTTTATCTATTATCAATAGAATTTTACTTCTTTATTATATTTATAAATAAAAAAAGAGCTGTTGTGTAAATTATACACATAAAGAAAATGTATGTAAGTTTAAACGTTAGTTTAAAATTTCTTTCTAAATGTAAATGCGTAAATCGTGTCCGACTTTTTCCTGTCTAAAGGTCTAAAAGGAAATATCATCTAATTTGCATATGTTAAAAGGTTCGAGATTCAATATTTCACCTGCGGTGGCAGTCACGCTACGATGACGGTGGATACTAGGGCAAACGAGGCTTCCGGGGGATCAGATGCTGCAACAATGGAAGCCGCGGATATCGCCGCGACACCGTTAGAGAAACTTATTCGATCCAAGTTAGTATTATTTAACAAACATGAATTTTATTTAGGTACCTTTTACACTTCCTTGTTCCAGGAACAGGATTTTATATTAGTGTCACTTTATATAAAGTCATACGCTATACTATACTATTTTAATAAATAATTTTATTATCTATTTTGACATATGCCTGCATATTCTTCACGCTCAATATAAAGCTTCACACTTCAAATAGTTTCATTTAAATAGCTTATTTATCTTTTCTATCCATATCTTAAAAAGCTTTTTGCGAGGAAAGGATTACTATTGTCTCCCTAAGATTACTATTGTCTTCTTGATTGCAAAATACACGTGATATCTGTGGGATCGTTCGAGCGTTACCTCAAACAGCGCAGAATTCAAAGTATCACCTCTTCCACTTATTGTTCCACGCTGCACCAAAGGTGGCAGGATGCTCTAATACAATGGAACGGAACACCGGTGATGTGAGGGATACGAAAGGATGACGACCAGACCCGTTCTTCCGTGTTAAGCCGCATATCCGTCATTCCGCGTTACTGCTGTGCTAATCGATCAAACGTTTATCGATCGCACGCTTATCTCAATAAAAGCTTTTAATTATTGTTAATGACGTAAATCTACGTGGAAATATGTCGCAATGTCAGATAATTTTAAAACGTGTGATAATATAATCCTGGCGCTTTCTTAGATAGTACAGCAGGCATTTATATGATGGCCAAAAAGCTTTGCTACTTTGTGAAATATTTCAATTGTCAATAAATGAACTATGTTAATGAATTATCTTATCTTATACGAGTTGTATTATAAGAAAATATTCTTTCCTACACATACACATTTTTTTCCAATTATTGTTGATATAATACTTATATATAATCGATATTTTGTTTCTTTAGGATTAGGAAAATATGTTCTTATTTTTAAAAAATTTAGTTTTATATTTTATGGAAATATACATAAAATCAGATATACACACAAATTAAAACATATAAAAGTTAAAATAACTTAAATTTACTATTAAATCATCTTTAGAAAGAAAGAAGAAAGAGAGACAAAATGCTGACGTGAATATTCACATATCAGTCAAGAACGAATACTCGAGTGTACCGTTCAATCAACGATGAACAAACTTTTACCGAAGCTGCCACGCGATCGCGTGGAAAACAGTATGTTTTCTTTGACTCATATACATATACAGGAATAATATACAAGCTGATTTTAATTTAGAGATACAATACCGTTAACAATTTTAGACGTAATATTTTTTTTATAAGATATTAAAATATATTATTTAATTAACTTTCTGATGAAAAAATATTAACGATTTAAAAAAATTGTTTAATAAAAGATATACAATAAAGGCAAAACTCTTTTTTTTCGGATGGAAAAAATGTAGGTAGTAATAAAATCACCAATAGCAATATTTTTAGAAATATTTTTAACAATTAAATAACACGACTAACAGTTTTATGAAATCGAATAATCTGCTAGAAATTGATCATAAATTGTGTTGTAATAGCCACGTATTCGAGAACGTTTGTAGTAATTGAGCATTTTCGAAAATAGTTAATAAATTGCGTGTTTCGATTGTGTCTGGCAGTGGACGCACCGTTAGCGAGTCATTCTGTGTAAATCGCAGACAATTGTAGAAACTGGTTCAAAGTGGAAAGGACTTAAGATGGGGAGGCCGATGTTTATTAACTGCAAGCACCGTGCATAATAAAAGTCATTTTTCCCATGGGGGGTACGAGGAGAGAGGACAAGGCGGTACGCCTGCAATTTCACAGACCGATGATCCGCGAGGGACGTCGTCGCGATGCCATAAGCGAATCGCGGCGCCCGCAACATGGATTTCGTTCCACTTGCCCTCGACCATTTCTCACGACATTAAATCGCGAGCTGCCGAGGGGAACGAGATACGCTACGCGTATTGCCGAAAAAAATTGCGTGCTCACGCAATTGTTAGTCATTTCTTGATTACGTGATTCGTTATTCGTTGCTGACAATTCGCAATACTGACAATCTCATATTCGTTATGTGATTAAAGTTAAGGAGAAG